GAGCCAGCAGTGGTAAGAAACCCAGCGGGAACAGCAGTCCCCTTGGTAAGGTGTCCCACCCCAATCAAAATTGATACCTTAGAGTCACGGTTGTTGTCTTACCCTTGGAGGGCAGAAGCGGAATAGTTACTTCAAGGCTTCCGATTTGGATTTAGGATCTCAGCTTTAGGCGAGAGGAAAGCATTTTTTGCCAAAAACCTGCGATCAGTGAAGGGTCTACAGACCACTGTACAGAAAAAGATTGATAAAGAGGTGAAGGAGGGCAGTGTACTTCATCCTTTTTCAGAGCCATCTATAGGCAATTTGAGAATTTCCCTCCGAGGTATAGTGCCAAAGAAGGCCGTGGGGGAGTATAGGTTGATTCATCACTTGTCATTTCCCGAAGGGGTGTCCATCAATGATGCCATCCCCCAGGAACTGTTGGGGTTGAGGTACACATCATTTGATGAAGCTATTAATATGGTCCGGGCCTGCGGGGTGGGGGTGGAGCTGGCAAAATGCAATATTAAATCTGCCTTTAGAATTTTGCCAGTTCACCCTCTAGATTTCAATTTATTAGGATTTCAGTTTCAAGGGTCTTATTACATAGATAGGGCTGCTCGATATTGTGTGCCGCATTTGAAAAATTTAGCACTTTTATATAATGGAAAATCAGGCAGAGGGCACACTGTAATTCTACAGCCCTCAATGATTTTCTTTTTTGTGGTAGGGCAAATTCTGATAGATGTAGGATGATTTTGGAGGAATTTCAAGCCATGGCAAAAGAGCTGGGTTTGCCGCTTGCTGAGGAGAAAATGGAGGGACCAGCCATGTCCCTCACCTTTTTAGGAATTCAGTTAGACACAGAACAACAGACTTCCAAGTTGCCTCAGAATAAATTATGGGATCTCGTAGATAGACTGACTAATCTGCTAGGTAGAAAAAAGGTGGCGCTCAAGGAGCTCCAAGAGGTGGTAGGGCATTTAAATTTTGCATGTAGGGTCATGGTGCCGTGCCGTGCCTTTTTAAGGCGGCTTTGTAATGCCATGTCCGGCCTTAAGGACCCCACACACAAGACCAGGCTATCCAAAGGTATGAAGGATGACCTTAAGGTGTGGTTGCAATTTCTTGAGAGATTCAACGGTACTTCTTTTTGGAAATCAGAAATTAGTTTGTGGGCAGATTTCCAAGTGAATTCCGATGCCTCAGGGGCAGTAGGCTTCAGGATTTACTTTTGGGGCAGATGCTGTGCTGGTACATGGCCCAAGGCCTGGCACCGCGCAGGCATCACAAGGGATTTGACATTTTTAGAGGTTTTTCCCGATTGTAGGGGCCTTGTGGCTTTGGGCGGAAGAATGGTCCAATGCGGTTGTCAGATGTTGGTGTGACAACCAATCAGCTGTTTCCATCATTAACAATCTAACTTCTCATTCCAATCGAGTATTGGATCTGGTTAGGGCATTTACCCTGAGGGCACTGCAGTTTAATGTTTTGGTGCATGCCCGTCATGTTCCCGGCATTGACAATGGTATAGCTGATGCTCTTTCACGTCAACTGATCAAACACTTCAGGGAGCTTGTCCCAGGGGCCAGAGATTTGCCAGAGATTCTTCCAGAGGAGGTTTGGCAGATTGGCGTGAGGAAGCATTTAGAGCTCCCAGGACTAGAAAGGGTTATTTAGCAGCAAGTGCAGAGTTTCAGGAATTCTGGAGGACAATGGAGTTGGAACAGGTTTGGCCTGCTCCGGTGGAGCATCTTCAACAATTCATAGTTAGTTTACACAGGAAAGGGCTAGCGCCGGGTACCATACAGGGCAAGCTGTCAGCCCTGGCATTCATTGCAAAAATTAATGGGTATAAGGATTTTTCCTGTGATTTTAGGATTAGGAAAATGTTAGAGGGTTGAAGCAGGGAAAGGGGATGGGTGTACGATTTAAGGACACCTATGTCTCCAGCTCTCCTTGAACAATTAGGAGAACAATGGACCAAACTGTGTAGGGACCACTGTTTAAAGCGGTGGCTTTAATTGCCTTTTTCGGTGCTCTAAGAGTTAGTGGCAATGGGCAGAACGGATACCTCTCTCATAGCCTTGCAATTGCATTATGTTTTGGTGCAAGATGGCCAGTTGAGGATTCAGGTTAGGTGGTCCAAGGCTGACCAGTCAGGTAAGGGTCAGCAGTTGGTCCGAGGAAGATGTAGCATCAAGCCAAGTCTTGCAGTCACTTGGGCACCTCATCATTCATCTGATGGATAGAACTTGGCCAGTAGCTAGAGCTTGAAAAGGTTAAAATTTTGGACTGTGATTCCTAGAATCCCCCAAGTCAGTAGAGTCAGTGGCCCTGCTGGCTGGGGAATCCTGAGACTTGCAGTACAAAAATGTGATGCTTCTAAGTGCTGAAATTATGAGCTAGCCCCTACTGCCTTAAGATTTATGTACCAAAAAAAGTTCATGTATTTGAGGACAGAACATTAAGCCTTTAAATACAGCTGCTATACAGTAAATGTTGCTACTTGATTTCATCTTTTTTTCTTTTCAAATTTACTGACATTCATGAACAAAAGAAACAGAACTTAAAGTTTCAAAGCAGGATCAATTTCTACATCACATAATATGCATACTATGACAACAAGAGACATGCAGAAATACATTAGGTATATTTCCTGAAATACTGCCTAACTGATTGCTCCCACCAAAACTGCTCTTGTGACTATCTATAGCTGCCCAATAATCCTTAAGTCTACAGGACTGAGAAAATGGATTATGAACAACATCTGTACTTCAGGAAATTGCTTGTTCTCTTCATGGTCTGATTCCTTCCCCTTTAGAGTACAAACATATATACGGCATTACCTTGCATATGCACTCACCTGTTTATAACTATGATGTGCCCGCACCCACACACACTCACACACAAAAGTCCATTTTAAAAAGAGAAGTACAATATTTTAAATAAAAATAAAGAATGCATTCACACACTTACAGAAAAGAATACCTTCTACTGTCCGATCTAGAGTTGTTGTTAAGGAGAGGACTTTTTTCCCCAGCCTCATCCAAGATAAAAATCTTAAAACACATAGAAGAACAAGCTTTGCTGAGGGAAAATCAGCATGGCTTCTATAAGGGTAAATCTTGCTTCACAAACCTTTTAGAATTCTTTGAAAAGATCAACAGGCACGTGGATGCAGATGAACCAGTAGATATTGTCTATCTGGATTTTCAGAAGGTGTTTGACATGGTCCCTCACCAAAAGCTGTTGAGAAAATTCCACAGTCAGGGGTTAAGAGGGCAGGTCCTCTTATGGACTGAGAATTTGTTGAGAACCAGAGAGTAGGTGTCAATGGGCAATTTTCACAATGGAGAGAGGTGAAAAGCGGTGTGCCCCAGGGATCTGTCCTTGGGCCGATGCTTAACAACCTGTTCATAAATGACCTGGAGACAGGGATAAGAAGGTGGCCAAGTCTGCAGATGACACAAAACGTTTTCGGGTGATGAAAACCAAAAGAGATTGTGAAGAGCTACAGAAGGATCTCTCCAAACTGGGAGAATGGGCGGCAAAATGGCAAATGTGTTTCAGTATAGGAAAATGTAAAGTAATGCACATTGGGGTGAAAAATCAGAACTTTAGTTATCAGTTAATGGGTTCTGAGCAGTCTGTGATGGATCAGGAAAGAAATCTTGTTGTGCTGGTGAACAGCTCAATGAAAGTGTCAACCTAATGTGCAGCAGCAGTAAAACAGCCAACATTATAATGCCAAACGCTGGTAAGGTTTGGAGTATTGCGTACAGTTCTAGTGGTCGCACCTCAAAAAGACATAATGGAACTGGAAAAGGTGCAGAAGAGAGCAACTAAAATGATGACTAGGCTGGGGCACCTCCCTTATGAAGAAAGGCTACAGCATTTGGGGTTCTTTAGTCTGGAGAAAAGGCGCCTGAGGAGAGGGAACATGATTGAGATGTATAAAATTATGCAGGGGGTGGATAAAGGGGGTAGAGGGGAACTCTTTACCCTCTCACACAACACTAGAAAATGCAGGGGGTGGATAAAGTGGGTAGAGGGGAGCTCTTTCCCCTCTCACACAACACTAGAAATAGGGGACATCCACTCCAATTCAGTGTTGGGAGAGTGAGAACAGACAAAAGAAAATATTTCCTTACCCAGCGTATTGTCAAAGAAAATATTTCCTTACCCAGCGTATTGATAGTCTTTGAAACTCCTTACCACAGGATGTGGTGATGTCACTTGGCCTAGATGCCTTTAAAAGGGGATTGGACAGATTCCTGGAGGAAAAGTCCATTGCAGGTTACAAGCCATGATGTGGATGTATAATCTCCAGGCTTAAATGGGAGGTACCTCAAAATGCCAGATGCAGGGGAGGGGTAACAGGAGACCGATATCTAGTGGTCTCTTCTGCTCCCAGATACATCTGGTGGGGCCACTGTGAGATACAGGGAGCTCAACTAGATGGGCCTTTGGCCTCATCTAGGAGGTCTCTCCTTCTTATGTTGCACATCAACTAACAGAAGTGACAGGAAAACAGTGATATATCACTTCTGAATTATTTTTAAAAGAGAGAATATTTTAGGGCACTTATTGCCACTTGTAAGATAGACACCCAACCAAGTGCAGTGGATACAAAAGAAGCATATTAAATTGCATCAGGTGACTTTGCTATGTACGAGGACTGTCTCTATCAGGCTGGGGTACAGCTATTGGTTTTCAAAGACTACATGATTAGCAGTCAGGTGGACAACTGAACATTTTGTATCGCTGCTCCTGCTCCTCTCTTGCAAGTATGCTGCAGTGTTAGAAATGTCATTATTGGTTTATAAGTGATTTATCAAATGCTGTACTAACATAGTAAATTAGGAACACACACACAAACACACACACCTCTTCTACAGTTCTAGTCAACAGTTTTCAAACAGATGATAAAAGTGTGCCATAGGCAATGACACTGTTAGCTTGTACTGTGCTTACAGTGATGGGCTCAAGGCAAGCTGCTATTTATATGCCATGTGGTTACTGTTTGTGGGACTGATAATATCTAAATTACTAGAAGGAGGCTGGCCACTCCAGGAGTCAACATTATTGATTATAAAGGCAATAATAATAATTAACGTAAGAAACTTTATGAGGTGGTGGACATTTTTTCAAAATCATAAGAGCTTATATTTACATATCATAGACATTATGAAAAGAATGGAGACATTTTGAAGTGTCCAGGTTCCTATCAGAAAGGGGAAAACACATTCTTCACACAAAAAAAGGAGAAAAACAATAACATGAAGATACCATTATTGTACATGTGTATGTAAAGGAAGCAGTTGAGAAGAAACTAGTTGACGGGTTGATTGATAGTTTACAAGGTTTCAAACTCTGTCCAGTTGAGTTTCATTAATTATTTCAGACTTTTTGTCAGCAGATATTGTATATAATCTGTGGGGAGAAACAATCACATAATGTGAAATCACCATTCTTGGAAATTACTGAAATATTGATTAGTACCAAGTAATGCTATTTAATTTATAACTCTTCTACTATTGTGCTGTTCAGAGTTTCTTTTCCTAAATGCTCCTGTCACTTGGCAGGGTCCCTCTCTTCCAGAACATCTACCCATGCCACCAGGTCTTGCCCAGGCAATGCTCCTCAGGGTGGCCACACTTTGGAATCAATTCTTGGGCAAGCTGTATCTGGACCCATCCTTGTCTGCCTTTAAGAGGCTGCTGCTGAGGACAGTGCTCTTCAGAGATGCATTTGATAATATCCTCGTATGATTTTTTTTCACCATTGCCCACCATTACAAAAAGCTGTGCTTTCAGGTTTTGAGTTTTAAATGTTTATCTTCTTTTTGATTGTTTTGCATTATTGTGTTTTTGTTATAGTTTGCTTCATTAATAATGCATTGCACCAATGGGGCAGTGTACAAGCAAACAGACAGACAAACAGACAAATCTGGGGTTCAAACAAACATAAGAAATAAGTGGAGTCCTGCTGCATGAGACCAGAGGCACATCTAGTGGATTATTCTGTTCCCCTAGTAGTCCACCAAGGGATGACGTGCTGAGGCATACTGTCCTTGCAGGTGGTGTGTCCAGATATACTTCCCCACCTTTCTCATATGTAGTGAGTTCTAATATGAATCCTAATCTGAGTGCCATCAATAAAAAGCTGCACCTAATCAATAATATATTCAGACACCAATAATATATTAAGAGACCTATGTGAGCTGACCACCAATGAATGCAGTTGATAAGAGATGGTTACACTTGACTAAGGGTTTGACTACGTTGACAAATAATGCATGAAATGCTGCAGGACTGGGATGGGTGGATTCACATTATTTTCCATTGATTACATTATGTAAGAATCAATGCAAAAACCATGACATATTCATATACCTTCACGGATGGGTGTCTGTCACAAGACAAGTCACACTTGTCTAAAAGATACTATGGCATGACTATGCACTCCTGATGAACATACCTGGATTTCTTTAAGGAACTGTTCTTCTGAAGTTTGCCTGGCTGGCAACACGCATATTTGCAGTCAATGACCTGGTAAATAACAGGGTTATACATGGCGGCTGACTTTGCAAGCAAAGTGGGTATCACTGAAACTTTTATAGGAACTGAATCTGGTCTTCCAAAAGCTGACCATACTGACACTACAGCATATGGAATCCAAGCGATTAGAAATCCTGCACAGATCAACATCGCCACCTGGTGAAAGGAAAGAACATCAGATCTATTTCACATTATGCTTTATATACTACCAACAAAGCATGTATTGTAAAGCTCTACAAAGCATGGAACAAAATAATCAAACAAAATAATTTAGTGACAAGCAGCACTAAATAAATTTCTCTTCAGCCTTGTTTCCACATGGCACAACCATGACTTCTATTAGCATATATTTTTCAAAGAGTTGGCTGTGGTCAACTGTTTCAGCATGTATAGCAAAAATAAATATCATCATAATCATTATCTTAGAACTGCAAAGCTGGAAGGGGCCCCTAAGGATCATTGAGTCCAGCCCCCATCAAAGAGGCACAGTGGGAAAACAAACTCCCAACCTCTGGCTCCACAGCCAGATACTGAGCTATCTCTGAGCTATCCAACAAACGCAAAATACTTTTGTGTCACCTTAAAGACCTAAAGACCTATTTCATTGTGAGCTGTCATGGATCACAACCCACTTTCTCAGATACAATAGTGTCACACACTGGTCTTTAAAGTGCTGAAATTCTTTTGTATTTATTTTTATTACACATACTATGTATTTTTAAGGTCATGCCACTAATAGGGAAATAGCATTACAATCCAATGCATGTCTACTCAAGGGTAAGCCCATTGATTCAATGGGATTTACTACTGGATAATTTTATAGCATTGCAGTCAAATCTTTTATGACAGGGATTTGAGAAGGTGCAGTCTAATGAAAATTTACAGCCAATTAAAAATTACTAGAACAACACAGGAACTACTTTCTGCTACTGCTCCACAAATGGATGAACCACACAAATCTGATAAATTATACAAACTCTTTCCATTGGGAGGGAATGGGAAAAGGACAATCCTGTTCATGTGCTGAGTCCTTAGTACATATTAAGAGCCCAAACCATGGCATAGTTGTGCATGGAAAGATGCCTAGTGCCATCTCTGGAAGACTGGGCACTGTTTCAATAGGAAAAATTATTATGCTAAGATATGTGTCTATCAGGAATAGGTTGAGAGCAAAACTAATTAGTAAAAAATGCCAAAAGGTTCAATATTATTTTGGGGATGATATCAGACACTTTTATGTATGCTTCATAAAAAGAGTTATAGTTATGTATGCTTCATAAAAAGAGTTATAGTTCTTCTAAAATAACTAAACAAATGTTGAACTTGGACACTGCAGAACAGAGTTCAAATGAGGGTTTTCTCCCCCCTCAGCAATTGGAACCACTAGCCCCTGCCTTCTTCTATTGAAATGAACTAGTGCATCAGTTGATGTGATTCTTACAATGCAGATTGGTGGAAATCCAGCTGCATAACTTGCTGAAATCCAGCACTGTAAGGCTGATGACACCATCAGCTTTGGCAGTTTTTTGGAAATTACATTTTTCTGATCCTATCCACTTCCATTAGGTCCCAATGCTCCCTTAGGCTCCCCTTCATTATGGGTAAGTTATTGGGGGCCACAGGATGGGAGAGAAGTGTTTAATTTTTGAAAATTCCTGTCTGGATGATCATAGAATCATTGTGTTGGAAGGGGCCTATAAGGCCATTGTGTTCAACCCCCTGCTAAATGCAGGAATCCAATTACTAAGTCCAGACTAAGCGAGACAATGTATTAGTACAGTAGGTTCCAAGGTCACCCACTAACTCATGGATGCTGAAAAACACAGATTATAGTGAACATTATACTAATATGGTCTCTGGCTCCCTCTACTAGTCAACTCTGGTAACAACATCGTGGAAATATACGGTGGTGCCTTGACTTATGAACGCCCCTACCTACGAACATTTCGACTTATGAACAGCTCCGGTCGCAAAATTTGCTTCGACTTGTGAATGGAGCTTCGACATATGAGCAGAAAAAGGCAGGGGGAAAGGCAGGAAATTCAAACCGTTGGTGGCAAAGAGGCTGCTTCTTTGTAGCTCTTTTGCCCCAATGGTTAGGAAAAGGGAGACTCAGCCTCCCGGGCTTCCACCGCCACCGCAGCCAACGGGAGGTGAGCCGCCAGACCATCCTGGCCATGCTCAGCCTCCCAGGCTTCCACCGCCGCTTCCAGGAGGCAAGCCACTGAACCATCCTGGCCATGCTCAGCCTCCTGGCTTTCACCACCATCGCCTAGCCTGTGGTTACACTGCCACTGCAACTGCTGCTCTGGCGGTGGCAGCAGCCTGGGAGGCCTCCTGGAAGCGGTGGAAGTGGTGGAAGCCCAGGAGGCTTCCCGGGCTTCCGCCGCCACCAGGACAGCAGTTGCAGTGGCAGGGTGAGCCCAGGCCGGGCAATGGCAGTGAAAGCCTGGGAGGCCTCCTGGCAGCGGCGGTCACAGCAGCAGCAGAAGCCCAGGCCAGGCAGTGGCAATGAAAGCCTGGGAGGCTGAGCTTGGCGGTCGTGGTGGCAGTGGAAGCCCGGGAGGCCTCCGGGTGGCGGTGGTGGCGGTGAAAGCCTGGGAGATTGAGCATGGCTGGGATGGTCCGGTGGCTTGCCTTCCACCAGCGGTGGTGATGGTAGCGGTGAAAGCCTGGGAGGCTGAGCCCGGTCAGGATGGTTTGGCGGCCTGCCTTCTGATGGCAGTGGTGGCAGCAGCAGTGGCAGCCCGGGAGGCTGAGCCCGGCTGGGGAGTGAGTGTGATCAGAGGAGTCTTTGGACTGGTGAGGTAAGTTGCTGCTTTTTGCTTTTTAAAAACTGTTTTGGGTGGCTTTTGCAGGGTGAGTTATGTTTCTGTGCTTTGTTGTTTGTTTTTTGGGATTTTTTTTACAGTCCCAGCGTGGGACTTGCTCCAATGTTTATTTTTGGATTTGTTTTGTTTTTTGCAGACCCAGAATGTTCCTATGGGGCTTGCAGTGTTTTAGTTTTATTTGTATTTTATTTTAATTTTGATATTTTTTAAAAATGTTGGAACAGATTAATCCCGTTCCCATGCATTTCAATGGGAAATGGCGCTTTGACTTATGAACATTTCAATTTATGAACATCTTCTGGGACGGATTAAGTTCGTAAGTCGAGGCACCACTGTATTTCTTTAGTGAACACCATATTTAGCATAGTCTCTGGCTCCCACTACTGAGCAGTTCTGGTAACTCCATCTTTAGAAACATATTTTTAAGATGTTTCTTTTAAGGTTTTTAAGGTTTTCAGACCATGGATAACTGAATTAGCAGATACTAATCCCATGGATAAGGAGTCCCTACTGTATCTGTTCTGCTTTGTTCGGACCTCCCTCAAAATCCTGTGCCAACTCCTAGGCAGAAATGTATTAGCAGGAATGTGAAGAAGGAAAACAGAGGGGGGAAACAAAGATATTATTAGAATCATAGAATAACACTCCCCATCCCCTTCATTAGCTATTATCTGTACATTTTGTCCTAAGAGTCATAAGGATGGAATGTGATATAGTTTGTATATAAGTTTGTAGTATTATTAATTTTTTACTTTTTATATTCTGTAACCAAATATTCATATGCTGGAAGCTGGCAAGGAGTCATGTATCATAAAACAACATCTTGAACATTAAGTTACATTCTAAAATAATCAAAACTTTCATTTTCGTTTATAAACCACAACTACTATTTGGTCATTATTAGTCACAGGACTACACAAACATAGCCAAACAGTCATGATAGACCTTATACACAGATGATAGTGAGAGTTCTATCTGTGTAACGACCCTGGTGGGCTTAGCAGCATCAAACAAATGATAGAGGAAGCAGGATGGAATTTGCCTGTGATGGTAAGTGAAACTCAGCAGCCTGTGATAAAGGGAAGAGGGTTAGGGAAAAGGTAGAAGCCACTGAAGAAGAGCAAAGAAATACCAGACATTTGAATTTAATTCAGTGTAAATTATAAATTAATTAGGAATTCAAGAATGGGAATGATTTTTCCCCTAAGAATACCTATCAGTAGTGACCCTTTTGCTCTTTTTAAGTGTCACTCTACTAGCAGACCTTTGTCATTTTGCAAATTTTATTTTCTATATCTGTTGCCCAAATCTCCCATTTCTTTACTCACATATCAATTTCCCTCACATTGCTAACTCACCGTCCTCCCACTTTTCCAACAGGACCCTTCCAAAACCTCTGGACCTTCTATACCTACCTTAGTTAACTTCATTTCTAGGATGTGTGTGTTCTGAATCCTGGTGTCATAGTGAGCTACTTCTTTGGTAGAGGACTTGACCTTTGCTATAATTTTAGTATAGCAAAACACAATCACAGCAGTTGGGAATATAAGACAGAAGAAAAGGATATTCAGAATAAAAGCCTGTCCTGCTATGGAAGCTTGAGCAAGCCACCAGTCCAAGGTGCATGAGGTTCCAAATGGTTCAGGAGCATAGTTTCCCAAGCCAGCAAATGGGATTGTTGCCCAAAAGGCAGCATATGACCAGATTATTCCTAAGCAGATAAAAGCATGGTGCCTCTTCAGCCAGGTACCTAGAAGAGAATAAGTATGTCTCAGGTGCAAATGAACACAAACAAATACAAAAACACTCTATGTTTGTGTGTAGATAGACTGTACGTTCAAGAATCGGCTTATGTGTGCTTCTTTCCATTCATATGCCTATTGTGAAGTACACCTACACATAAGCATTTATACACAGTGTGCACAGGAGCCAAGGGTGGACAGTCAGGATGATGAAATCAGGAGAGAGGGTGCCACATCCATATCTGATGCAAAAGAAAGCAATGAAAAAGCTACCAGAGGTCTTCCTAGAAACTAGGTTTTTACTGAAAAAGAAAAGCAAAGCAGCAATTAAACAATAAACTCCTCAAGACTTCTCAAGGAGAAATAGGAGACAGCAAGGAATTGTGGAATAAATCTCAGTTTAAATGGAAGGTGAGAGGTTTGCAGTAAAACTGAAAACAGCATGGAAAGAGAAGCCAAAGTATTTCAAGGAAAGGGCAGCATTGCTGTCTTCTGTTTTGCCCAACAGGGGCATATATCTAGGGAGAGACGTTTCAAAATGGCTACTTTTTTCACTGCATTCTTATAGAATCGTTTGGACAAAAGTCCGTTTTGAAATGAGGACAATTTTTCCATGAGCATGTTCTATACCCTGGGGAGAAGGCTGCAAAGCCACAGGGGTGTTAACAGCATACACCACAACAAGGTCCTCGTTCTGTACCAAAGACCCATCTGACCAATTGCTATAGAGGGGCCTCTCTCCATCTGCTTACTTTAAGATGTATGGCATGATCAGCAAAACTCAGCAATAATTAATGGGTCTCTCCAGGGAGAGACACTCATTAGATCCATTAAGAAGAAACCGAGCTTGGCAGCGGACGATATTGGTAATTACATGGCCATCACCAATGTTTCTTTCCTTAGCAAGATAGTTGAGAGGGTGGTGGCTGATCAGTTGCAGGGTTTTCTGGATGAAACAAATGCCGTAGATCCATTCCAGTCGGGCTTCAGGCTGTGCCACGGCATGGAAATGGCGTTGGCTGCCCTGTTTGATGACCTATCGAGGGATGCCAACAGGGCCAAAATTTCTCTACTAGTCCTCCTCGATGTCTCAGTCACCTTCGATATCATTGACACGGTATCCTCCTGGGGTGGCTCTCTGAGTTGGGAATTGGTGGCCTGGCTTTTGCCTGGCTCCGTTCCTTCTTGGAGGACTGTCCCCAGAGAGTGCAGATTGGAGAGAGTTTCTCAGCCCCATGGAGCCTCAATTCTGGGGTTCTGCAGGGCTCGATTATCTCTCCAATGCTATTTAATATCTATATGAGGCCGCTGGGTGGGGTGATCAGGGGATGTGGGGCTTTGTGTCATCAGTATGCTGACGATACTCAGCTCTACATCTTTTTTCCAACAACACTGGATGCTGTTTTGTCCCTTAAGCGCTGCCTGGAGGCTGTTCAGCAATGGATGTAGGAGAATGGACTGCGGCTGAATCCGGGCGAAATGGAGGTCCTTCGGATGGGTGTCCCAGACATCAGTGGTTTGAGAAACTCCATCTCTTTTTTTTTTGGGGGGGTGACTCTTACCACCAAGAGTGAGGTTCACAGTTTGGGTGTACATCTGGACCTGGCGCTCACCATGGAGACCCAGGTGTTGTCAGTGGTCCATTCCGCACATTTCCACCTTTGACGGATTGCCCAGCTTGGTGTGGGGGGACTCACCACTTTGGTCCATGTGCTCGTAGTCTCGAGATTAGACTACTGTAATGTGCTCTACATGGGGCTGACTTTGAGACTGACTTGGAAACTTCAGATGGTGCAGAATGTGGTGGCCAGACTTCTTACTGGGGTGAAAAGGTACCACCATATTTCCCTCAATCTGGCCACCTTGCATTGGCTGCCCATTCATTTCCATGTTGATTTCAAAGTTCTTGTGATTACATATAAAGCCCTAAACAATTTAGGACCTCAATATCTGGCAGAGTGCCTTCTCCCACCCAGTTCTCCTAGAGTCACTGGTTCCAGCCAGGCCAGGTGGCTGAGGGGCCTAATGCCGAGCGAGAAAGAACAAGGAACCGAGCCTTCTCGGCAGTGGCCCCCGCCTTTAGAACAACTTATATTTTTTTCCATTTTTGGAGTTATAATAAATGCTTATTGGTTTTATTGTTTTTAAATGTGTAAACCGCCCAGAATAGACCTTTGGTCTAGACGGACAGGATAGAAATCAAATAAATAAATAAATAAATAATCTCAGTTCTAGTCTACATGGAGTACTCAAACCATTTCCTGCCTCAATTGGGCACCCCCTCTTAGAATCTAACATGAGCATTTTAACCCTTCCCTTTCTAGATGGCATTGTCAGATTCTCTTTTAAAAAAAGCAACAACCTGCAGCCACAGGAGTTAGGATCAGAACTGCAGTGAGATGGTTGTTTAATGCTTTCCCTTATTAATATGAAAGATGACAGGAAGCAGATAGGGAAGCTGAAAGCAGTTCTAGTGGACAAGCATTTACTGGCTTCTGTCAAACCAGTGAGCTCCCATTTCTGAAAGTACTTTCGAGCTCTTCAATGGACAGAATTCTACTATAAACTGGTATGCGTTTAAGTGAAATTGTGTAAGTCACAATGGCATAATGCCACTAATTAATGAGATGTCTGTCACAGTTCCGATCTCATGCCTCTTGTACGATTGTGTGCATAACCACTACTTTATTGTTGTTGTTTAGTCGTTTAGTCGTGTCTGACTCTTTGTGACCCCATGGACCAGAGTACTTTATTACTTAGTAATAATTTGCCACCAAGACTTTGCAGATGTTATTCATGCACATATAAATACAGCGGTGCCTTGATTTACGAACATCCCGACTTACGACCATTTCAAGTTACAACCAGCTCCGGCCAAAAAAATTTGCTTTGACTTGCAGCTGGAGCTTCGAGTTACAGAAAAAAGGCGGGAAATTCAAATTGCTAACCGTTGGTAGGTAAAGTAGCTGCTTCTTTGTAGCTCTTTTGCCCCAATGGTTAGAGTGAGTGCAATCGGAAGAGGCTTCGGACTGTCTCGTAAGGTAAGGTGCTGCTTTCTGCTTTTAAAAACCTGTTCTGGGTGGGTTTTGTAGTGTGGTTTTGGGCTGGGTGGTGGGATTATGTTTCTATGCTGTGATGGGTCTTGTGGGGTTTGCTTGTTTGTTGATGGTTTTTCCCCCATTTCCAATGGGTCTTGGGGGGGTTGTTTGCTTTTTGGTTTTCCCATTTCCTATGGGTCTTGGGGAGGTTGTTTGCTTTGGGGGTTTTTTCCCACATTTCCAATGGTTCTTGGGAGGGTTGTTTGCTTTTGGGGGGGTTTCCCCCATTTCTGATGGGTCTTGCAGGGTTTGCTTGCTTTTTGCTTTGCTTTTTTTGCATTTCCGAAATGTCTTGCACACTTCGCTTGCTTTATGCTTTGCTTTTTGGCATTTCTGAAGGGTCTTGCATGGTTTGCTTGCTTTTTGCTTTGCTTTTTTGCATTCCAGATGGGTCTTGCATGGTTTGCTTGCTTTTCTCCCCCCGCTTTGGCCGGAATGGATTAATCGCATTTCTGATAGGTCTTGCAGGGTTTTTTGGTGATTTTTTTCTTCAGCCGGAATGGATTAATTGCATTTCAATGCATTCCTATGGGAAATGGTGCTTTGACTTACGATCATTTGGAGTTACAATCGGAGTTCTGGAACCATTTAAGTTCGTAAGTCAAGGCACCACTGTATGTGTAATATCGTCATTATCTATTGGTCTTTAAAATATATGCAAGCATTAGAAACCCTCAAGTTAAAGTCCAGCTGAGAAGAAATCTCCACTAAGGGGACATTTTAGCCCAGTGGGACTTAAGCTTTTTGTCCTTTGCTTGAGATTTTTTTTTTTTAAAGCAAGGCCATAGCAAAGCATTAGAGAAATCTCTCCCTAGGTTGAGAACCAGCACAACACATAATATCTTCAGCCCCATCCATGTTCAGATGGATTAGGGATACAAGATCTTTTCTAGGCCAGCAGGTGTTGGTTTCTAAAATTAATAAAATTAACAAAATAAGCAAAAATCATTCCTGGTCATACATTTTTGATGACACCAGATGGGATTATCTGCTATTAATACTAATCGAAACAGAAACTGATTTCAGAGTTTCCAAGGAAGGAAGAGAAATAATTCTTTTACATTTTTAGCTTACCGTAGGATAAGTGACAGATTTTTAAATATCTATCCAGGCTGACGGCTGTCATCGTAATAAGGCTCCCAATGCCAAAGAAGAACCCAGCCCAGCCATACCAACGGCAGCCACTCCAGCCAAAGATCCAACGGTGGGAGAAGAAAGCAATAATGCTGAATGGTTTTCCTACCACTGGAAAACACAGGGGTAAACATATTAGTTAATCAGATAAACTGGCTGAAGTATACTATCAAAACAACATTTCAAACTTCAATATATACGCCATTGTGATGTTTACCACGTAACCCCTGATTGTTTCCCCAAACAAAGGGCTCACACTATGTCTTCCCACCAGCAGATAACAATTGGGACGTCCCCCCTTTTTCTCACTGCCACCAGTGGATTTCCTTTATCCACAATATATATAAAGAACTTTAGTCAGACACTCGTCAGGTTGCTGCCAACAGAACTTATTTATTGAAGTGTAATAACTTTAATCAGAATCACCGATGTTCTTTATTTAATGCATACAATCAAATCATTCATATATCAGTACGCAGCTCCCTCGCTGGGTATTTTCAAGAAACAACTGAAAACATGGATGTTTAGGCAGGCCTTCCCCCTTTCTACCTAATACCTTCTTTTTCTGTTATAATATATCCCGTTTCTCGCCATCTTTGGGAAAAAAATTTATTCTATCTTTTAATTTATGTAAATTATTATTTGTGATGTGGTTTGTTATATGTTTATTTTTTAACTGCATGTTGTAAGCCGCCTAGAGTGGTCACAATTGACTAGATAGGCGGGGTATAAATGAAATAAATAAATAAATAAATAAATAAAATATCATGTATCTTGCTACCTTCACCACCTATCTATCTTGTCCAGCTTATCTCTATTGTTATTCTCTCTCTCCCTCTCTCTCTCTCTGCAGGTTCTCTGCTTCCCTCTGCCTCTCTTTTGCCAACCTTCTTATATCTGCTGACTCTGCCCCTCCACTCCCCTCATAGGCTCATGCAAATAAAATCCTGGGTGTGAGTGACAGGAGTGACGTGGGGCAATCACAGTCACATCCATCCATAGCCCCACTGTTGCCTGCAGAAGTTAATGTTTTCATTTTTAGCCCATATGGAGTTAAATTACCTGAAATTCCCAGGTCACACACTGCTAAATTGACAGTCATTATCTCGGCAGGTCTCAGCTTCTTTTTCCGTTGGGTAGACATATAAATAACATATCCATTCCCCAAAGTGGACATGATCCCTGTAATAAAGATATATTAAAGAACAAAAATAGAGTCAGGTTGTATTGTGAGAGTACATTACTACTCTACTGCCAATACCCTTACCAATACCTGAGGGAAATATTCTCTGTCCTCCCCTTGTGGCTAATACTGTTTAAGTGCACCTTGGAATTATACATGAGACCAAAAAAATCCTCTTGAAAAAAAATTGGAAGGAAAAAGCTGAAAACTCCATCCCAAAATTCCAAACAGAAATGACCAGGTTTAAAACAATTAAACCTGGTCATCTCTGATGACCACGTTTAATTGTTGGAGCATTGGTGAGGACTACTTTTCAGCCTGAGAGCCACATTTCCTTGTAGTGAAACTTCTACAGGGAGGAGGGCCTGGCAGCAGCAGGCATAACCACACCACAGTTCTCTCTCTCTTTCCCTATACCTATTCATACACACCCTTTAGAATAAGGACCAGAGTTCATATCCCCACTTAATCATGAAACTAACTGAGTGGTCTTGAGCAAGGCACACACTCTTGGTCTGACCTGCCTCGCAGGACTATTGTAAGGATAAAGTGACGAGGAGAAGGAAAGCCATTGCATGCCACCTTCAGCTCAGTGAACATAAATGTATCAAATAAATAATCCTCTCTCTCCTTTCCTTTCCTGCTCCCATAACATATACTCACAAGTAAGTGAGTATCCCACATACAAAGCTATAGGGGCCCGAAAAGAAATAAAATTCATCGGAGTTGTTTCAGCTCAGTTGATTTGTTCAGCCTTTAATAGCCAATATGCTCTGTGCAGGCAGACCTGAGGACAGATGTATGAGCTCATCAGGGAGGTGCTGTGGGTTCTGATCACTTCAGAGGCCACAAACTACTTCTCCACTTACAACATAAAGTATATTGGCAGCATAATGGCTGAAATCTCAAATCTCGGCTATTTTTGACATTCTCCAAAGTGATAGTATTTCTTCAACATTCACTCAGCCTCCGTGTTCACGACACAAGACAATAAGATATAAAATATGGTTTTAAAGTTACTTTCATTAAACACTCAACTGTCATATAAACAATGGAGGTGGAGTAGATCGTGAAGCTGGAGGTAGATTAGTCAACATCAGGGATTCAAACTGTGTCTGGCTAGAGGGAAGCTGCTCGAGCCATAAAAACAATTTAATTGCTGAGCATTTTTAGTGCTGGGCAAGTTAAAACTACCAAACTATTGACCATTTGGAGGTCCAGACAAGGCTACAGTAACACATTTGGTGGGCAATCCAGAAGCATGCCTGAAATCCAAAGATCAAGATCCAAACTGGGAATTCTGGCAAGATAGTAAAGGAGTCTGAAGAGGCCAGATGGGTTGGGACAACTGATTCAATGGCAAACTTCCCTTCTGAGAAAATTAGGTTTATACAGTCTTAGAATAAATACAGCTGATGTCCTCTGTGGCACCCAAGGGTATCACTCAATTGACCCATTTATCCTCTCACCCTACATGGCAGCATGAGTCCTGCCATCACCTCCACCCCACCTTCAAGCTTTCTCTCTTGCCTCATCTATCAGGTAGCTCTTCCTTCCCCACTCTACTCCCTTCCCTTCCCCTCAGATAAAGGTGACTGCTTACCTCTCAGACTGGACTAAGTGGGCTGGGTGAAGAAGTGCACCTATTCCAAACAGTTACTGCTACACTGGTATTCTTTTGAGGCTGGGTGAACCTGAGTCAGCTGCAGCCAACCCCATCCCCCAGAAAACACATTGACCCCCAGGCTGGGAACCCATGTCCTATACTGATCACTGACTCCGAGACATGGTGGAAATGCTCCTGTAATCTAAGAGCTGATGCAACCAATGAGTGGCACACACTCCACAGACCAAATATTTAATTCCAATTGGTGAGTCAGTGTTAAGCAAATGAAACCGTCATCTGCTTAACACTGCTTATCTTATTGTGCAGCACAGCAAATCAACATTCCACAAGGAAATTCTAAAAATGGGGGCACCCAAAGAAAAACGTATAATTTTGAAACTGGACTTTGGATCAGCACCAAATTTGATACTGATGTAGCAGAAAGCCAGCTCTTGGTCTCTCCCATATTTGGGGGTAGGGATGGGCAAAGCTTAGTTATGATTTTTTAAAATTAAAACTGTTTTAGTCCACCTCCCTGTGCAGAAACAAACAACCCTAAATATACCCAGATTTAAAATAGTTCATATAAATTGAAAACACCAATCTTGTTTATCTTGAAAGAGAACTGTTGGTCTCATTTGCTTTTTTATTTGGAAAGAATCCAGTCTGTGGGGGCTGAAATACTGGTAATCAAAAAAAGGCCTTTCAAGAATCACCTTGTTACAAAACAGAGGAGGAGTGGAACAGGCTTACCAGCCCAAGCCTTGCAAAGTACACATTGTTCCAGCTTCTTGGGACCGAAAGGAAAATGTTTGAAGGACAATGAAAGGGCACAGAAACAGTCAAAAGACAGGTTTTATCTGAATAGTTTTTTTTTAATAAAACACCATAGGTTTGCTTTAAAGAAAGTAATAATTGATAGTTCTCCAGAAAATGACATTTTGTCATGTACTTCAAGTGAATTAGCATACAGGGCATATTCAAAGTATTTCTGCATCACAAAAGCACAGAGCTATTGTGTTTGTCCCAGCCCTGAATGCTTTCAGTAAACATTATCTTCTTGGCTAAAAGGGCATTGGTGCTGGCAAATATATTGTGCATCTGACTGCAAAAACATTTTAAAATATATTTTGAAAAGCATAAAGAACATATAATCAGAAGCTCATTTATTTAAGCTGTGAAATTACTGTGCTGTTGGGGTATTTCACTTTCTTTTCTCAAGACTAAATATGCCTAGTTCTTCCAGTTTTTCCTTGCAGAGTTTGGTTTCCAGCCCCATGATCATAATTGTTGCCCTCATCTGAGCTTGTTCAAATTTGTCAGCATCCTTCTTGAGGTCTGGTGTCCAGGATTGGACACAGACCTGAAGATGAGGCCTTGTTGTTGTTATTTAGTCATTAAGTCATATCCAACTCTTCATGGACAAGAGCACTCCAGGCCCTCCTGTCTTCCACTGCCTCCCAGAGTTTGGTCAAATTCATGCTGGTAGCTTCGATGACACTGTCCAATCATCTCATCTTCTGTCGTCCCCTTCTCCTCTTGCCTTCACTCTTTCCAACTACATCAGGGCTTTTCCAGGGAGTTTTCTCTTCTCTTGAGCTTCAAGATCTGTCCTTCCAGTGAGCACTCAGGGTTGATTTACTTCAAAATGGATAGGCTTGTTCTCTTTGCAGTCCAGGGGACTCTCAAGAGTCTCCTCCAGCACCGCAATTCAGAAGCATCAATTCTTCGGCAGTCAGCCTTCTTTATGGTACAGCTCTCATATTGCTACTGGAAAAACCATAGCTTTGACTATGTGGACCTTTGTCAAGAAGGTGATCTCTCTGTTTTTTAAGATGCTGTCTAGGTTTCTCATCACTTTCCTCCCAAGAAACAGGCGTCTTTTAATTTTGTGGCTGCTATCCCCATCTGCAGTGATCATGGAGCCCAAGAGAGTAAAATCTGTCATTGCCTCCATATCTTCCCCTTCTATTTACCAGGAGGTGATGGGACCAGTGGTCATGATCTCAGGTTTGTTTGTTGAGGTTGAGCTTCAGACCATTGTTTTTGCGCTCTCCTCGTTCACCCTCATTTAGAGGTTCTTTAATTCCTCCTCACTTTCTGTCATCAGAGCAGTATCATCTGCATATCTGAGGTTGTTGATATTTCTTCTGGCAATCTAAATTCTGGCTTGGGATTCATCCAGTCCAGCCTTTCACATGATATATTCTCTTGACAAAACTCTATTAGCCTTTGCCCTGCTTCGTTTGGAACTCCAAGGCCAAACTTACCTGTTGTTCCTCTTATCTCTTGACTCCCGACTTTAGCACTCCAGTCCCCTATAACGAGAACATCTTTCTTTAGTGTCAGTTCTAGAAGATGTTGTAAGTCTTCATAGAATTTGCCAATTTCAGCCTCTTCAGCATTCGTGGTTGGTGCATAAACTTGGATTACTGTGATGTTGAAAGGTCTGCCTTGGATTCGTATTGAAATCATTCTATCATTTTTGAGATTGTATCCCAGTACAGCTTTTCCCACTCTTTCAGTGACTATGAGGTCTACTCCATTTCTTCTACGGGATTCTTGCCCACAGTAGTAGATATGATAAGCGTCTGAATTGAATTCGCCCATTCCCGTCCATTTTAGTTCATTGATGCTCAGGATGTCAATGTTGATTCTTGCCATGTCATGTTTGATCACATTCCCCTTCTCAGGTTTGGCTGCCTGGGGTGGGGGGAGTAGTGATCTGCTGACTTATGGCTCACATGCTGTGTGTGCCACCTGTGGCATGCGTGCTATAGGTTTGCCATCACTGGGCTAAAGGGTGTGTATGTTTCTCCACTGTATGTGTTGCATTTACTCACTCTTTTGCTTCACCATTTCATTAAGTCCAAAACAGGTCTTCAGAATATTTTGGATCACAAGACTACAGCCACATCCAAGGTGTTCTTGCTTCTGTCTTCTCCTAGGAACCATAGTACCAATTATGCGCTAATTTTCTGGAATCCTTTGGCACTGGCAAAGGATTCTGTTGAGGGAAGTTTCTGCTGGAATTTTGTGTATATGTATCCGGTATTTAACTTACATTTTAAAAAGTGAGATAATTCAGTTCTTTAAAAAAAAAACCTCTAGTTTATGAATGTGAGATACTGTGTGCCTGTACTCATGAGTCAAAACATCAGGAAATGGCCTGATATTGCTGCACAATATTGGGCCCTTGTTGCCAGCAAGAAAAACATGCCAAGCTTTATATAGCAAAGGAATGATGAAAACACCAATTGCAGCAGTCGAGATGGTCTACAGCAATGGTCACCAACCTTGGGCCTCCAGATGTTCTTAGACTACAACTCCCAGAAGCCTTCACCATCACCTCTGCTGGCCAGGATTTCTGGGAGTTGAAGTCCAAAAACATCT